CTTTGACCCAGTGATTCCAGATGTTGTTCTGATGACACCCTCCCACGGCCCTCCCTCCACGCCGCGAGCTTCGCTGCAGCACTGCCTTAGGAGCTAAGACCACAGGCCACCCGAAGTCCAGGCATACAAGGCGGTTAAAGAACGTCCTCGTGCCCCACGTCACCGAACTACCCAGGACGGGGTCGAAGGAGCACGCTGCCTACTGGCACACGTCCCTGGACACAGCGGGCGCACACGGGTGCTCGCCGTCTGCTTCTACAGTCACAGAGCGCAGGGCAGGCGTGGAGAGGGGCAGGGGACCCGACCGCTGTGGTCAGAGGGGACAGGGGGCGCGGGGCCTGACTTCTCCCCAACAACCCTGGGCACCATTTCATTTCCCAGCCACACGGAGGCGTCACTCCTGACCCGCCGAGGTCAGGAGCCCCCTTTGCTCCAGTGGGCGTCCCACACCCTGAGCACCACGGCGTGGCTGGGCCACCTGGGAGGCGGAGTGCTCTAACCAACCCTGGAGCGGCTGCGTCATACGTGGCCCTCCCAGATGTCCCAGCACCCGGCGTCGCCTTCCGGGTGGGGCCCGGCTTTCCGAGGCAGGTGCCGCTTTGCCGGTGGGCCCGACAGCTGCCTTGGCTGAGTGCTCTTGTCCTGACTGATGTGGATGAGCCATTGCCGTGTGACTGACCTTGGTCATCTGTCAACCCAGTCTTTCCAGTTGGGTTGTTTTTGAAGTTAAAAAATAATCACTTTAGAAACGTGATTTTTATTTATTTTTTTTAAAGTTCACTTATTTGTTTTGAGAGAGAGAAAGAGAGCGCATGCTATCAGGAAGGAGGCAGACAGAGAGGCAGAGAATCCCTGTACTGTCAGTGCAGAACCTGATGCGGGTCCTGATCTCACCAACGAGCTTAACCGACTGCGCCTCCCAGGAGCGCCAGAAATGTGTGATTTTTAAACCACTAGATACTCAGTTCCAATTCCGTACATTTTTAGGTTTGATTTTAAGCCACTGAACTCCGCGTGGGAGGCATTTTAGCGTGTGGCCGGCACTGCTGGTGGCCAGTTGTGTGCTGGGCCATCCTGTGTCGGCCTCTCCTTACGGAACATATGCCCACAGCTAGAAGGTTCCTGCTGTGTGTGGCCTGTTCCCCGTGCATTTTATTGGCCTAGAAAACCACTCATTTCGCTTCAAGAGAAACTGTCCATATTTCAGTTAGAATTACACTGACTCCTTAGTGTAGAGAAAACAGCTTTGTAGTATGTAATCCTCCCATCCAGAAGAGTTGACTTATAAAGATGTACTTTTCCCACAATGCCTGGTAGGGTCTCTCATCACATGGTTTTCCTGAGAGCACAGACCGCTGGGCTGCAGACTCAGGGCCTCCCTGGGCTCCATTCTCTCCAGTCACCTCCCTGCTCAGCTCGACTGAGCACCTGTTGTGCACCTGCTGTGCTAGCCCTGCCCCAGCGCCAGGCTGTCCCAGGACGGAGTGGGGGGGGGGGGGGGGGGGCCGGTGCGGGGGGGGGGGGGGGGGCCAGCTGGAAGGGGATGGGCCACAGGCAGGTGGTCTGAGAGGAAGGTGGGGGGGAGGTGTCCAGAGGTGTGGGCAGGAAGGGCCTGGGCTGCATGGGGCTCCGGGGAGGGGTCGCAGCCCCAGGCTCTGCAGCAAGGAGAGAGGACAGAAGAGTAGGGTCAGGGTCAGCGTGGAGCAGGGGTGGGGGTGGGGGGTCAGGAGAAGGGGCCGGATCCCTCGGGCAGGGTGGAGAAGGGGGGGCATGGTGACCCCGAAGTCCTGGGTGCAGTTGTGGGTCTGGACCCCAGGCACCTGTGCAGACCCAGGGGGTCAGGCTTGGGCTCAGGTCCTGCCCTGGGATAGGGTTGCAGCAGGGCCTGGCCAGGCCTCCTGGGGCCGTAGGGAGGCCAGGAGGGGCTCTGGTCCCACCTCAAAACCAAAAGGAGTATGTCTTTTCAGCGCCAAGAGCCAAGCGCTTGAGAAATACTGTGTAATGGAAGCAATCCTTCATGTTATTAAGTGCAGATGTCACACACTGTTACACTATTTCATTATTGTTTTTAACGTTTCACGACTGCTAGGACTCACAGTTTGTTCCTCGCGATGCACGGAAAACTTACAAAAGGAGAAGACGCTTCGTCCCAGGCTCTATAATGGAGCCTCTAGATTGCCTGTCTGGACGGATCGCCCACGTTGTACTTTATCATAAATGCTTATGATCACAGGTTTACGTCCGAAGCAGAGTTACTGGCTTCCTGAGAGTATCACCGAAGAAACCAGTAAGGTTTTAAAAAGTATTCTGAGGGGCGCCTAGCTGGCTCGGTGGGTGGGGCCTGTGACTCTCGATCTCAGGGTGGTGGGTTCAAGTCCCATGTTGGGCGTAGAGATTACTTAAAAATAAAAGCTTTAAAAAAATGATGATAAATAGGGGGCACTTGGGTGACTCGGTTGGTTGAGTGTCCAACTCTTGATTTCGGCACAGGTCATGATCTGACAGTTTGCGAGTCTGAGCCCCGAGTCAGGCTCTTACTCTGACAGCACGGAGCCTTCTTGGGACTCTCTCTCTGCCCCTCCCCGGCTCGTGCATACTCTCTCTCTCTCAAAATAAATAAACACTTAAAAATAACAATAAAAAAGAAGTATGCTTGCAGAAAGTAGAATATCCTACAGATAACTCCACTATGCATACTCGAACAGTCAACACATGAGGGGAGCACAAAGAAACTCTGTAGACAGTTGGAACGACCACAATGCGTTCATTCCAACCCTTCCTCCCGCCTAAATGCTTCCCAGGGTGAGCCAAACATCTCTCTCCTACTTTTCAATCCCGAAGCACTGCTCATAAAGGGCAGGGGCGACAGGCCCAGCCCCAGCCGGTGTGTGACCACCCTCCCCTGCACAGACCGTGCTGAAGGCCCGCCCCACAGCCTTCCTGGTTTCCTTGCCGAGGCCCTGCCTGCTGTTCTCAGGCTCTGAGACAGTCCCCTGGTGGAAGACAGTCTGTCTGGAGCTCTGGGGAAAACACTTCCCTTCCCAGTGAAAAGAAAGAAGTGTGGGGAGAGAAGCAGGCCTTCTGACGTGATGCTCGGAGCTGCTGCAGCTCTTCTGGACCATCAGGAGGAGACAGAGCCCCAGACCAGCCAGCCCCCGGCTCGTCTGCCTCTGGGCTCGACGCACAACTTGACGGACTCCTATGTTTTGGTCAGCGAGTCAGTGCCACTGCCGTGCCGTGATCACTGCGTGTCAGGAATGTGACCAAATGCTCACCACCTCGGCTGTCTCCTCCTGGGTCCAGTGAGCACGTGTAAGTTTCTGGGGCTGCCTTAAGTCACCTTCAGGAGGCCATCTGTGACCTGTGCACAGCAGGTCAGGGCTGCCGAGGGGCTTCGCCGGGCCCCAGCACTGCCGCTGTGCTCCTCCCCACCCAGAACGGTCCCCGCTGTCACCTGCAGCAGCCGGCTGGCCGCCCTGCTCACCAACTGGCCCCGCTTGGCCCCTGCTTCTGCCTGCTTCCTGACTCGCCGCCCTCCTCATCCCTGAGCCATGGCTCTGTACCACTTAAAAGCAGGAAAGGAAGGGACTCTGACAGGAAGCCACCACCAGACCGTCTCTTCCACCCGCACGTGGACGGGTGTGGCCTCTCGGACCTGCTGCTTTCCAAGAGCACGGCTTCTGGAAGAAGCCGTCTGCCCCATTCTTCCCTCCGGCTCCTCCCTCCCGGAAGACTGGCACGGCTGTGTTGCCCGTCCGCGGGGACCACCTGTAAGCCCACACTAACCTTCACCTTGCGTCCTGACCTCACCTGGCCTCCCTGCCACACGCCCCGGGGAGGCCACTCTCTCTCTCCTTAAGACTTTCTATTACAAGATACCCAAAAAGTTTCATCAAACACATGTACGTGTACAGTCTAAAGTATAAAAATAAAATAACTTGAAGAATAAAACAAACATTGGGGCGCCTGGCTGGCTCAGAGGAGCGTGCAACTCTTACTCTCGGGGTCGTGATTTCGAGTCCTGTGTTGGGTGTAGAGATTACTTAAAAAAGTAAAAGTTAGGGGCGCCTGGGTGGCTCAGTCAGTTGGGCATCCAACTTCGGCTCAGGTCATGATCTCGCAGTTCGTGAGTTCGAGCCCCGCGTCGGGCTCTGTGCTGACGGCTCGGAGCCTGGAGCCTGCTTCGGACTCTGTCTCCCTCTCTCTCTGCCCCTCCCCTGCTTGTGCTCTGTCTCTCTCTCTCAAAAATAAATAAAAACATTAAAATAATAATTCTTCACCTTCTTGAGGCAACTGGCTAAGTCGGTTAAGCATCCAACTCTTGATTTTAGCTCAGTCATGATCTCAGCTTGTGGCTTTGAGCTCTGTGTCAGGCTCTGTGCTGACAGTGTGGAGCCTGCCTGGGATTCTCTCTCTCTCTCTCTCTCTCTCTCTCTCTCTCTCTCCCACTTCCCCACTTGTGCTGGCTGTCTCTGTCCCTCTCAAAATACATAAACTCAAAAAATTCTTCACTTTCTTGCCACGTATGGACCCCTTCAAGTGTGACTATGGCATTTTTCAAAAAGGCAAGCCCTGCTTTGCTTTGCTTTTCTTTTCTTTTCTTTTCTTTTCTTTTCTTTTCTTTTCTTTCCTTTCCTTTCCTTTCCTTTCCTTTTCCCTTTCCTTCCTTCCTCCCTCCCTCCCTCCCTTCCTTCTTTCCTTCCTTTCAAGTAGGCTCCATGGCCAGCGTGGGGGTCGAACTCCCCACCCCGAGATCAGGAGGCCCCGACAGTGGTATTTTCTGTGGACATGTGCAAAGGAAGCCAGTCCGGCACTTAGCCGGCTATGTTGTGAGAAATGGGGCTAGAGTTTTATGCTTAACTAGAGCGAGTCAGATGTGAGGCAGAAATAAAAGTCCTCCCCACATGGATGGCCTCAGAGTTTCCCATATAAAAATTCTCTTTTCAAGCTATTCTGGAAGAAGAACAACGTATCTTAGAGGCTACTAAGGTAGCCACGGATAAGTTTGAAGGAATTGAATCAAATTTATTTTGTCTAAAAGACACCCCTCCCCAACAGCTAGTATCCTCATGGATGGTAACAGAAAAATGCAGATGTCCACAAGTTTAAGAAACTGATGGGCGAGATGAAAATAAGCTGGGAGTAACCACCAGAAGAATAAAACTTGAGTGTCACTTAAAAACAGGCTGGAGATGGAAAATGTGACCTACTCAATGAAAGGCGTGAGGAGATAAAAAATTCTTCAAGCACGCCAAGCAGAAAATACACAAAAAGCCATCGGAGGGAAGCGCCAGCAACTAGGGCTCACAGGGAAGAGCATGTACGGAGCCCCTGTGGCAGACTCGCACACGGGTCCGCGGGGCACGGGGCACGGGGACGGCGCTGTCCTTTCTGCAGAAGGCGCCGCCCCGACAGATGGGTGCGGGAAGGCGGGGAATCAAAGGAAGCCGGTGAGTCAGTGAAATACGAAGCAAGCAGGGCTGAGGCCCACCTGGGAGACCCAGGGGCAGAGTCTGGGGAGGAACATGAGGCTAAGACCGCGCGGGAATAGCCAGGAAAATGCACAGAAAGGTACAGCGAGGAGAGCCCAGGCCGGCCGAGGGCCGTGGGGCGGTCACGGCTCCCACAGCCCAGCACCGCCCACGGGCAGGTGGAGACCCGGGCGCCATGGTGGGATGGGCCAGACACAGACGCCCTGGGGAAGTCAGCACCGCAGTGAGAGCGGGACTTCCGATAGGGGGCGACAAGAGGGCAACACGGGCCGCTAGTGAGTGCCGCTGGGCCATCGCGACGAAAACTCAGTCTGGTTCCTATTTTGTAACGTATACAGTGATAAGTTCCAAATGATTCATGGATTTACACATTTAAAAAATGAAGCCATAAGTATTAGAAGAAATCAGGGAAGAATAATCTCCAATTGTGGAGTGGAAAAGGCCAAAAAAAGGCACAGGAACCAGAAAGGGTTAAAAACAAGAACACTAACTACACACACATGCAAAAATACACACATGACAAAAACCACCATAAGCCGAAAGTCAAATGAGAAACTGCCGGAAGGTGGGAAAGTATTTGTAAACTGTGTCTCGGGAAAGGGGTAATTTCCATCAGGAAGGACGAGCTCCTATAGATGGGGCCCCGGCAGGCAGGAAGGGGCAGAGCGGGAGCCGGGGGAGAGGAGGGGCCTCCTGCCCAGAGCCACTCGGGGGAACGCCGCACCACCTCGGACAGGAGACGCGGGTGACGTCCGCGGTGCCGTGTGCGCAGCCTCGCACACCCTGCTGGCGTCCGTGTGAGCGGGGGTGGTCCCACGGACCCCACCGGACCAGAGCTTCCCGAACTAGAAATACACCTGCTTTTCGACCTGGCAACCCCCACCCTGGGGACTCACATACAGGCTTTTAGCGGGAGGCATGTGTCCCAGGCCATCACTGTAATGTGACTTGTATGGCAAAAGATTGGAAATGACCTAAAATATCCACCGCAGGGACAACAGTCCCATCGGTCAGGGCACATCTACACAACGAGGTGCAGCCCACGTGGGGCTGAGACCCCCTAACCCTGTGGACGGATTCCGAAGGGATTCCCTCAGGCTTCCGGCCACTTCTCGGGGTCAGGCTGCTCTCCCGACAGAGCAAATGCGTCTCCTGGACCCCCGCGAGGACCTGGCGGGGCAGGGACAAGGACACACGGGCGTGCTCGGGAGGCCGGAGAGTGGCCGGCCCTCCCAGACAGAAGGACCGCACCAGCCCCCGTGGAGGGGACCCCCCTGCAGCACCGGGCAGCACCCGAGTAGGAGGACTGGCACTGTGGTGACACAGCAGGAGCCCGCACAGGCGGAATGGGCGGAGCGAACGCGGTGTCTGTCTGCACATCAGCCACCGCGGACCCAGCCCTCCTGGACAGCGGCGGAGGGGAAGCGCGTCTCGCCTAAGACAGGATGTCGACTCCCTCCATTCTGACTTCCTACTTTCTGAACGAGTAAGTTCTTCCTTCCAGCTTCTCTCTTACCTCAGGCAAAGCATCCGTGGCGGGAACAGAAACTACCCCTCGGCAACAAGAACCGCCCTGCAGGACACCGGGCCCCCGTGAGACAGCCCCCGACAGTGATCTGCCTGACCCTCACCGCCCACCTACGCGGGCCCACCGACCGCCGGCCCGCATTCTCCCTATGTAACCCTGGGACTGTTTTCCCCACTTTGCAGACCGTCTTCGAGTTGCTCGCCCACGGTCCTCCTGACATCGGCCTCGCTGCAGTAACCACCCTTCTCGTGTCACATCCGCTCGTCTCTCTGCCTCTGGAGTGTGGTCGGTGTGTCGGTGACGAGTGGCCGAGCCCGGCGTGTCTGGGACCCCGGAGCCAGGCACTCGTGCGCCCCCATGTCCCGGCCCCAGCCTACCTGGCACAGAGTCGTCCTGGGACGTGAGGCTGGAGGGGCTGGATCCCAGGTCCAGTAACTTCCACGTGTCCTGGAGGGGACCACTGGCTGGTGATGAGGAGCTTCGGGTGTGGTGGCTCTTCTCCTCACAGGATTCTTGAGCCAGGTGTGGCTTTGGGGACCGGCTTTCCTTCTGCCGAGCTGATCTGTAAGTCGCCCTGGAGATCCCGTGTTGCCTCTATGACAGTAAACAAAGACAGAAACAGCCCTCAGAGTCCTGCTGGGTGAGCGGTGGGACGGTGGGCACGGCCCTCGGTCAGGCCCGCGCTCCCCGGGCACTCCAGCTGGGGTTCCCCTGGGCTCCAGAAGGCCTCGCGATGTGCAGGGCAAAGGCAGTCCACTCTATGGGAGGTGGGACCTGGAAAGAAGGACAGATGCCCCAAAGCCCATGCTCTCCGGCCGCGAAGGCCCGCTGTGGGGGCCCGTGTGTGCCCCGGGGCAGGGGTCTCGCTGTGCAAGGGCATGACGGAGACCCCCCCCCGCCCCCGCCCATGCGAGGAGAGGTGTCTGCTACTGACACCGCAGTCACTCAGGGCAACAGCCACCCACTGGGACAGAAGGCACACGGGTTCCCCACAGTGGGTCCCTGCACTGAGATGAGGCCCTGCTGTACCTGCCCCGACCCGGCCTCAGCTCCTGCTGTGCAGCCTGGCGGACTGGACCTTCTGCTGACACTCTGGACCAGGTGGGGCCGGGCCTCCCCGGGGTGTCCAGAGGAATGTTCTGTCTCGGCGCTCTTAGAGCCCTGCCGTGGAAATGCAGAGAAAAGGACTCAGTGCCATGTGTCATCGAGGGGGCGTGTCACCCAGGTCTCCCTCAAAAGTAGGAAGAAACGCTGTCCCCAAGTCTCCAGTATCAGGGACTCGCTCACATTGGGGACTGGCCACAAGGGAGGGGCGTGGTCGTGTCCACGAGCCAGGATGACCACAGCAGGCCTTCAGTGGCCATCTGAGTGCCCCTCACATCCTTCAGGAGACCGAGAACCTAACGTCACACAGACCCTCCCAGGGCACATGTCCCTGGCACACCATCGGTGCATCGCTCTGATGGCTCTTTGCACGCCCTCTCTGTGGGGACGCCTGCAGGACGGCAGTCAGAAGGGAGCATGAGGGAGTTTCTAAAGAGGCACAGAATGAAACATGGAAGAAAATGTAAGAATTAAAAGCAGGGGCACCAGGGCAGAGCCCGGGCAGTAGGCCAGTGGGGCCCCTGGGAACCAGCCAGATCCACCAGCCTCCTCCCGCCCCAGGGAGCACTCACACCCACCACCCAGCTCTCCTCCCCTCTAGTTCAATCAATATTTGAGTTTTCAACTGAGAAACGCACACAAATCTTTTGGATTTAATTGACAGCCCCTGGGGCAGCACTGATAATAAATGGCTTTTCGCATTTGTTGAGGGACTCACTGTGCGTCTTCCTCTGTGCTTTCTGACCATACCCTTTGCTTATTTATCTACTGGTTAAAAATTGGGCCCCAGAGTCTCATCTTTTCTCACGTTTTAAGAAAGGAGTCATTTCACTGGATTATCAAAGGCATGGTAGTTTTGTAGTTTGAAAGAGATTAATAAAGTGTAATAAAGTACTTTTCAAGTTTATTTATTTGTTTTGAGAGAGACTATCCCCATGAGGGCTCCATGCTGTCAGCACGGAGCCTGACTTGGGGCCTTGAACTCACAAACCTTGAGATCATAATCTGAGCCAAAATCAAGGATCAGGCACTTAACCAACGGAGCCACCCAGGCGCCCCTCGTGTAATAAAGTACTTAATGTACTAGAAAGAAGTGAAGGTACAGATAACAATATGCATGGTTTACTGTAACGGCTAACGGGCACATTTATTCTATGACTTAGGGCATTTTCCTCAATAACACGTACGCAGAGGTTTAATTAATTAATGCAGATGATTTGAAAAGTTATGAACAACTAGCTGAGGCACTTCAAAGTTTTAACAGCATTTCCCACAAGTGGAAAAAGCGTCCTCCAGGGGATGGGGTGTCTTCCAGGAGGGGGGTCCTCCTCCAGGAGAACGGGTCCCCTAGGGGAGGGGGTCCTCCAGGGGAGGGATCCTCTGGTGGAAAGCGCCATGGTCTTCAGCCCCTCTCTGTGGCCAGCCCTGCCCAGTTGTCTCAGGCCATGTCTCCTCGCCAGGCACACCGCCGTGCACATCTCTCCCACAGAGCCAGAGCCATTCCAGGCGGCCTGGCGCGTCCCCGCCGTCCCGTGGCTCAGACCCTGCCCTTTGCCGAGGGCTTGTGTTTAGCTCCAGCAGAAGGCCCCCAACACCCCGTGAGGTGTGTGTGCCCACGGACGAGGCTGGGGGGCAGCTCGGGGATCGCTGGTCCCAGACGGCCGCTCGCCTCCCCCCAGCCAGCTGCCAGGCCTCAAACCCGGATTCCTTCCTTCTCTCGCACTCCACGTCCATCCCACAGCAAATCCAGATCTGACGCATCTCCTGGCCGGCCGCCCCCTCCTCCCAGCCAGGACCCCCCACCGACTGGCCCCGCACCCACCCCCAGCTCAGCGTGGAGCCCAACGCCGCGGCCTCTGCCACCTCGCCAGGGCCGACTTGGAGCTCGCGTCACCCCACGGCCGAACAGGCCGCCCATCACCCACCTGGCGCTCTCTGATTTTATCTGACGCACACTGGAGACCGTTCGCGGGACATCAGCATATGGTCTAGGGTCAAGAGTTTATGAAACTCCCGCCCCCTTCAGAGAAGCGGAATATTAGCGAATAAAAAACTACACACACACGCACACACGCACAGACACGGCTCCAGGATGCACGCACGATACTTTTCAACGACTGATGAGAGGCGGAAGGTTCTGGTCGTGAGGAGAACCACGCTGTGAACACTCTGAGGGCAGCGGCAGGCGGCCCGCGCCGGGGGGCTAAGGTGCCAGGCCCCGGCCGGCACGCGGCCGGCACGCTGGACGGGCATAAGCTCCCTGGAAGGGCAGCAGCATCCAGCCGGCCGGGAACCCGCTCGGGGCCCCTGGGGTGGAGCCAGAAGCACCCGCGCACAGAATTCAGCATCTACTCTGCGTAAACACTCAGTAGATCAGGAGGAGAGAGCGCTGCTTTAAACCGACGAACGGTCTGGAAGAGGCTGGGCCACATAAACTCGCTGATAGTTGACCGCTTTTAACCTACAAAATGGCAATTTTGTAGGGTTCAACCTAATACCCAAACCTACAGCAAACTTTCTACTTGAAGATAAAATGCAAAAAGCATTTGGAGCTCCTGACTGGCTCGGTTGGTGGAGCGTGTGACTCTTGATCTCGGGGTTATGAGTTCGATCCCCATTTTAGACGTAGAGATTGCTTAAAAAAATAAAATCTTTAAAGAAAAACGCAAAAAGCACTGTTCAAGTCAGGACAAAGGTGTGGATGCCAGCTAGCCTGCTCTTGTTTCCACTGCATGGGAGTCCTGGTCAGGACAGCAGCATGAGACAGGACTGAGAAGGAGGGAGCCTGACCCCAGCAGGGGCTCTGGCCCCATAGAGAACCGAGGGAAAACTCTGGTCACACGCACCAGCACCAATCACTTCTGCAGAATTGCTAGATACCAAATCATCTGAGAAAAGTCAACGAGGTTCCCGATGGCCTGCAACAGCTAGAAAATGTGTGTTTAGAAATACTCAAGAGAAACGGTACAGTCATCAGAGTATTGCCCAGCGCTGAACAGGAATGAGCTTCTGAACCCTGAAAAGACGTGGAGGAAACGTAAACGCGCGTAGCCAAGAGAAGGAGGCCAGTCCGAGAAAGGCCACATAGCGTGTGATTCCAACTCTGTGACATCCCAGAAAAGGCAGAACTGCGGGGTCCGTAAGAAGCTCGCTCGGCACCAGGGACGGAGTTGGGACAAGGGGGAGGGATGCACAGACACAGACGATTCCTAGGACAGTGGGACTACTCGGTGTGAGGCCGTAACATGGACACACGTCAGCATCCGTTTGTGCAAACCCTTACGATGTCCAGCACGAGAGCGCACCGTGACTCTGGACTCTGGCGATAGCTGTGTGTCACGGAAGGTTCGTCAGTTGTGACGGACACGCCATCTGGTGGGGGATGCTGATAATGGGGGAGGCAGAGGACATTCATAACGATGTTTATAGCAAAAAATAGCCTAAATGCCCACTGACAGAAGAATGGATAAATAAACGTTGATATATTCATACGATAGAAAGAATATACACAAACCAGTGTCTAGGCCTGGAAAGCCATGCCTCGCAGGTCAGACCCCGCCCACCACCTTTTTTTTGGTCCAGCCCATGAGCTAAGAACACAGTTTTTACATTTTTATTTATTTTTTTAAAGATTTTATTATTTTTTATTTTATTTTTTTTACATTTATTTATTTTTGATAGAGCACAAGTGGGGGAGGGGCAGAGAGAGAGAGGGAGACACAGAATCCGAAGCAGGCTCCAGGCTCGGCGCCGTCAGCACAGAGGCCGATGTGGGGCTTGAACTCACAAAACGCGAGATCATGACCTGAGCCGAGGTTGGATGCTTAACCGACTGAGCCACTCAGGCGCCCCTATTTTATTTTTAAAGTTTATTTCCACCTATTTATTTGAGAGCAACAGAGACAGTGAAAGTGGGGGAGGGGCAGAGAGACACGGTGACAGAGAAAGAATCCCAAGCAGGCTCCACACTGACAGCGCAGAGCCCAACGCAGGGCTTGAACTCATGAAACTGGGAGACCATGACCTGAGCCAAAATTAAGAGTCAGATGCTTAACCAACTGGGCCACCCAGGTGCCCCATGATGTTATTATTTTTAAGTAATCTCTACACACAATGTGAGGCTCGAACTCACGATCCTGAGATCAATCCTGAGGTCAACAGTCATACACTCTACTAAGCCAGCCGGGTACCGAGTTTTCACATTTTAAAATTAAAAAAAGATTTCTTTTAATGTGTATTCATTTTTGAGACGGAGAGACAGAGTGCAAGTAGGGCAGGGGAAGAGAGAGAGGGAGACACAGAATCCGAAGCAGGCTCCAGGCTCCGAGCTGTCAGCACAGAGCCCGACGTGGGGCTCGAACTCAAGAGCCACGAGATCATGACCTGAGCTGAAGTTGGATGCTCAACCGACTGGGCCACCCAGGTGCCCCTACAGTTTTAAATAGTTGAAAAAAATCAAAAGAAGGATGTTTCATGACATGAAAATTACATGAAATTAAACATTTCAGGATCCGTAAAGTTTTACCAGAGCACCACCCATGTCCACCTGTTCACACACCACCTGAGACACCTTCAGGCTCATCGCGGAGCTAAACTGCCACAGAGAATGTAGGGTCCTTAAAGGTGGGGCCCTACATAGTTGGTCTCCAGCCCTTTACAGAAAAGTTTGCATCGGCCTTGATATTATCTCAGAAACATAATGTTGGATGAAAGCACCGTGCAGAAAGATACATACACGACCAGATGCGATTTATACGGATTTTCACATATCTGTTGAGAGAAAGTCTGAAGGGGGGGGATGTCTGACAGGACACTCACGGCGGTTTTCACTTTATAACATTTTGTTTATTAAGTTGGATGGTGTAGTTACATTAGTCTTGGTATCTTCTTAAAAGTCTAAAATATTTATAATAAAAATACATAAATGACAATATCCACTTAGTAAAGACCAAACGGGGAGAACAGCTAAGAAAACTTTGTAAAGGGACAGAAACAAGGACTATTACAAAGCTATGGTATTAAAGGGGAAGAGACCCTTCACGGGGGCCATGTGGAAAATAAATGCGGACCTGAATCTCACAACGCACAGGTGTCACTCCACGGTCTGCAAAATACTGTCCTGGCTCTTCCAAAATGTCAGTGTTGTGAAGGACAAACAAGGTCAGAAGGCCCCCTCTGGGGTGGAGGAGATGTCCACACAAGCACCTGCACGTGACCATGTGCACACCACGCACATGCATAAATACATCTCCATGTGCACCACACACAACCACACACACTCACGCACAGGTACGCAAGTGCTAGAGGCAACACGGGTCCCGGACTTGGGATTGGCAAATCTGAGTGTAGAACATGTATGAAATTCTAGGATTGTGTTTTATTTTTGTTATTTTCGAGAGAGAGAGAGAGAGAAGAGCGTGGAAGTGTGTGCATAAGCAGGAGAGGGGCAAAGGGAGGCAGAGGGAGAGAGATAGGGAGAGACAGAGAATCTTAAGCAGGCTTCATGCTCAGCATGGAGCCCCCCATGGAGCTTGATCCCATGACCCTGGCTGGGACCATAACTTGAGCCAAAAATCAAGAGTTGGACGCTCAACCATCTGAGCCACCCAGGCACCCCATGGATCGTATTAATGTTATGTTTCCTAATTTTCATAATGTCAGAAGGTATCTTTGTTTTCAGACATGAAGGGGCTTATTCTTAGCTGGTCCGGGAGCAAAGCTGTCTGACTCTGTGTGTCTCTCTCTACCTTTCCTCCATCTATATCTCTTTATCCATCCATCCATCTAACATCTGTCTATCATCTATCTATCTATTATCTATCTATCCATCTAACAGCGATATCACGTATCTATCCATCACCTATCCATCCATCCATCATCTATCCATCTACCATCTATCCATCATCTATCCATCTATCA